CAGCGCGGCTGCTGCGGCCTCCTTCCGAACAAAAGGGCGTAGGGAAATAAAATCGTTTGGTTAATAAGACTTCGGAAAGCGAGGGCAGGCGGTCTCGGTTGTGAATATTTTCTGATTTTTCCAGAAATCAAGCAGAAGATTGAGCTGCTGATGTCAGTTAACTCTGAGAAGTCGTCCTCTTCAGAAAGGTACAGCTGCATCTCTTGCATGAACGATTCATGGTGTAGCATTGCCAAGCAGCGGCGCAGGGCTTTTTTCTTTTCCTTGTCAAGTTTGCTAGCATTATTTACGTACTGCATGCTGGTTATTGTACCGTATCCATCGAACCTCTCTTTTTGGTTAAGCTTTGTGCATTTTTGCAGAGATTTATTGATTTCTTTTTTTTTTTTTTTAATGAAGCCCACTGGGCTGCAGCATGCAAATCGTACTACAGCAGGCTGCTGGTTTGTGTGTGCTGGTGTTGCAGACCTTGCTCCTTTCCACTGTCATGCGAACAGCATCTCGACTTCTATATTCGTTTTTAAAGACCTCGCGTTTTTGTTGTGTTGCAGGAAACCGTTCCACGGTTGCAAAGGGTTCCTTTCAATTTAGATGCATAGGAAATATACCTTGCTGAAGCGTTTCATGTCCTGTTATGTGGAAAGGGAGTGTCCTTTGCAAAGTAGCTCAGGAATCACAAATCTTCCAATTAGTCACATTCTGTAAGATAGATGTGATCCTTGTTCAAGTCTGTGCTAGGAAATGGAGCAGTCGCTGCATGCAGTAATGGTTCGTGCCTGCAGGTAAGGACAAAATGACTCAGAAGTGTTTTTAAAGCAATTATTTTACCTGTCAATCAGATTATTACAAATTCAATTACCTGTTTTGCTTTAAAGAAATATTTCGAGGTACTAAATGCATATGAAGTTTTCTGATGTGAAATAACCTCTTGGTGATTATTTTGTTGATTTTAAGTGCTCCAGCCCTGCTCACTTCTGCTTGCGACTGAATTTTATGAGAGTTTTTTTATTTTCAAAATTGCTTAAGTCCAGAGCAACATAATGTGTGTGTGTGTGTGTCCCCAATTATTGACAGTAATTATTTCGGCTATATGCAAAAGACCATCCAGACGTTCTATTTTGCCACTTTAAGATTTGACGTTGGCAAAAAATACAGTTATTAACTATAGTTACTAATTTTAAGGACTCAAACTGTATGTGTAGATGAAATTATTATCTAAAGTACATTTTATTGAATGTCTCAGCCTAGAAAGACATGATAGTGCACTGAAAGCTATCTTAAGAAAACAGGCTAAAAGACATCTTTCAAAATGAACGAGTGCTGTGTGGCATGCATTTAAAACCATTGCATGGTTTTAAAAACCAAAATGAGCAGTTTAATTTGATTTATAGGTATATTTGTGTGAGCTACATAGAAGCAAACTGCATTGCCTTTCACCAGCTGAGTATAACAAAATATCAGCAATGAGAGATACAGAAAATGGTGGGGGGGGAATGGGTTGTTAAGTCACCTTTCCAAAATGGAGAAATATAAGGAGAGCTTTGAGAGGTATTTTATTTATTTATTAATTCAAAATTAAGAATAATGAAAAAAAAGTTAATGTTTGTTTACTTCTATCCCACCCTGATGCCTACAATTTTTAAATACAAGACTAATAAAATGGTGGTGATAATAGAGAGGATGATGGGGTGAAAATAGTAAAGGAAACAGGTGTTAACTTGATTTTTGGAAAGGTATTTGTTGGCATTCCTGGGGGGGAATTCGGTACATAATATAGATCTTTTTTAATCAATACGAATGTTACACAGCACCCTAAAACCGATCAGTCTGTTTTTGAGCAAAACATGCTCATAGTTGAACTAATGGTAGTCCTAGATGAATAGGTCCCTGTGAAGGACTGTAACACATAATTAGAGAAAGATGTATTTGTCTGAGATCCATTTAAACGCCTTTCATTAAAAAGTAAGATTTTGTAACGGCATGATACGTTATCTTGCAATAAAGATTAAAATGTTAATGTTGTATATGCACATAGATTTCTTTTGAGGATTTAAATATGTGGTACTGTTCTCCATGAGATTGATTTGACACATCAGCTGCACAATTTACGTGGTCAGTTATAAATAAAAACAACTTCCTATACCATTTGAGATTTTTTTTTTAAATAACCACATTCTTTTCACCTATCTAAAAATAGACAGAATTTTTTTGCAAGCTGTTATGAAACAGTGCTGTCTATCATATTAGCTGACAGTTCCTTTCAAGGCCTTTTGAAAATTACTGTATAAGGTGTTTTTAAGGGAAAAAAAAATTATAGTACTGAGTGTCTGAACTGCTAAACTGTCCTGAATCTGCTGTATAGCAAAATTGCAGTGTGTGTTCATGCCATACAGACATGAAAATAGGCATGTTTTTAACAAACAGAAAGAGAGTTCATGCTTGCATATTTTTTTATTATCAGATTCTAGTCTTGCTCCTAGTGGTTGGACTTTCTGAGAAGCCCAAATTCTCCGGGTGGAAATGCCGGGTGGAAGATCTGAGAGTCCATGGCTTGTTTCTTGTTTTCCACCCTAGCGGAGGCTGCCAGACAGCGCTTGCATGGCAGGAGGGGAGGGGAGAGGATGTGCTCGGTGCATTTACAGAAACTGGTGAAATGGTAATAGAGAAGGAATTGAGGGAGAAGCCCATTAATTTCCTCTTTCGTTGGTCTTTGTTCTTACAAGAAAGACAGTTTAGTGTTTGTAGGTTTTCCTGCACACTTGGCAAGTTCAACGTGTTATCCTATTCTAGAGGAAAAAAATGATGAGAAGAAAGCTGGAATATAATGGGTGGTTTGGCTGTTATAGAAGCTCAACATGTTAGAAATCCTGCAGCATTCTCTTAGGATAGCTGGTTGTTACATTTTTAAGAGGCTTTTAGGAGACACTAGCAAGAAAGTGAGATGAATCCTTTGGTTGAGGGTCCTCTGAGATGTTAAAGACATTGCAGCATTGAAAAGTAAATTAATACAAACCTGAGACATTTTTCGTGGTGAGATTCATTCTTCCTTTCCCCTTACTTCTGCCCTAGAAAAACTGTAATTGAAGCGGGGTGGGGAAAGAGATACCTGTGTTTTGGCTTGTTATGGACTACTGCATTAATCCGACACAATCAGACAGCATCTGTAAATCCTAAATTTCTGAGTAGTTAATGCTGCCAGTGTATGTGTTAGCAATCTGTGACAAAGTCCTTGTCCCATGCTGATAAGGTAACCCAGGTAACTACAGATGCATGTGTGCACGTGGAGGGTTACAGTGGATCTATTACCTACTGTAACTTGTTACATGGAATTGATTTGTTTGGATGTCTGAGCTTTAAGTATATTGTGGAAATATTTTCCTACAGCATGCTTACAATGTGACACACACCTGGTTTCTTTATCTAATAAGTAGTAATTTAACTACTCGTGTACCCCCATGTTCTTTATGTTTCGGTGGGGGCTGTGTGAGGTTGCTTGTCCAAACCTTGCAAATGTCATTAGAAAGCAAGTAGCAACAGCCAGGCAGAGGAGGATGGTCTTTCAAGAACCTTTCAAGAAAGCAAAAATACTTTCCTTTCTCTTGTATGTCATGCACTCTTCTCATGTATGGTATAGTCAGCCCTTTGAGCTGTACAGATTTTATTTTTTGCTTTTTGAAGGGCTTTATGGAACTCCTTGCAAGTTTGTTTCTTTTTGAGAACAGTCAGTTCTTCCACATGGATCACTTTCTACTCTTTGGACTGCAAACCTAATGTGTATAGTATTTTTCTTTTTCATACTTTCGGACAAAGAACTTGGTATTTTTTTAGATCTGATTTTTGGCTTCTAAATTTATGTCATCTTAGCAATGCAGTTTGACCACAGGTTATTTACTGGTAAAGGTTATAAGCAAGGCTGATAAGTCTGAAGTGTTTGACCTGCTCTTTTCCCATCTTTCTGCGAAGGCTGCATATGCACGTCTCTTTAAAAGGAATTTCTGCTTCACTGTTTTTTAAAAAAAATTAATAGCAGCCACTCATGAGCAGCCTTAAAGTAGATAACTGATGTGTGTATAATTCAATTTTCATTATTTTGAGGGGTTTTATAAATAGCAGTAAAGGGAAGGTACTTTAAAATGACAGTAGGACAGCAAAGTTTGTGTTATTCAATGTGTAGAAGTATTTGAGGTGGGGTGGTGCGGGCAGGTTTAAGGACAACTGTTGGTGTTTGGTTTTTTTTTCCCCCTTGGGTTATGTATACCCCTCTCTTTGTAATTTATCTTTTCAGAGCAAATTAATGTATTTCTCAATGCTTTTACGTGGTTTCTTCATCAGGTCGTGCCAAGAATGCAGGCAGGGATAAAGTAAAGGAGGAAGAAATCTAAAATAATGAGGAGGAAGAAAAAAGATGGAGACTGAGTACTGTCTGTTTCTTTTTCTAAGAGACCTAATGTTAGTTGATGTAAGAGGCATTGTGAAACAAGTTATGATGCTGAAGGATTCCTTCAGGTTTAGGAACATGTGGGGTGGTTTTGGGGGGTTTTTTTGCTCTTTTTTTGTGTGTGTATGTGTTTTTCTTTTTTTTAATTTAATTGTCAATGCACTACTACTCCTAAGGCAGAAGCATCACTTGTAATGAAGTACGGAAATAAAACACATGTTTAAAAGTAGAAGAACCATCAGTTCACAACATTCAGTATGAACCGACATTGCTGTGTGTCAGATAAATGTTTTGGAATAATTCTTAGATAATAGGGCATTGTAAGGTAATAATTCCGTTGTTATTTATGTTACTAACATTGAAACAAAAAAATATTTCATCAGTGCCACTAACTTTTACATATGTTTTTAAAATATCATCTTTTCTTTAACTGTCTTCCTGCTTTACTTTTTTTTTAAGTGTAAAAGAAATATTGCCTCACTTCCATTCCAGGACAGTTCAAATTTATTTTTAGTCTTCACACAACTTTAATTTTTCAGTTTTGTTTAAAATAATATATGATAACAATGAACAGTGTATGTTTTTTCCCTTTTTTCCAAAATTGCAAGCTAATACTGCTGTTTGTTGTATTTTATCTCAGAAGTAGAGGGGAAATCATCCCATCTTAATGCGAGCCCTACACTATTTGTCCAGGGAGGTGCTTCACTTTACTACCAAACTCTTGTTTGGTGACAGCTCTCTTAGACTAGA